TTGTCCCAGCGATCGAGTCGTCTTCTTCTCATTTACTTCCTGGGACTCGCATATTCGCTTGTATTGGCAATAAACAAATAGCTCCGATGCTTGACAATCCTTCCTCCTTATCCACTTAAATACCTGGAAGGCGAACGTTTTTATTCACTCCCTGCTTACTCAGCAACCAGCTCAAGTGAATCTACGCAAATTCACAATTAGTAGAAAGCGACGTTTTCTAAATTAGAACACACGTAAATTATGTAGGGCAGTATTACGTCAACCAAAAGTTACGTTCTGCTGAAGAAACATTGGAATGCCGAAAGCGCAAAAAGTCACATCAGTTGAGTAAATCCGATTCCCAGAAGTACAGTATGCATGTCCTTGCGACCTGTCGGGTAAATAAACCAGCATAAGCACAGTAACGTTTAAGATAACAGTTGAGAAGCAGAAGACGACTCGATCGCTGGGACAATATGTTTATTCTGTACGTTTAAATTTTACGGCGGAACCCTGTGCACACACAAATTGTTTCTGCTACTGTTCTGTGAGTATATCTCTGAAGATGAATCCGCGACGGATTCCGAAACGTCAGGCGGATAAACATTGTCTCGGCGATCGAGTCGTCTTCTACTTCTCAATTACTTCCTGGGACTCGCATGTTCGCTTGTATTAGTAAGATAACAGTTTTACTGATCTCCATCATAAATATGTTTCATGAATTAGTGTCGTAGCAGCCAGTCAGCTGCTTGGCCTTTGATTGGATGTTCTGGGCGCGAATTGCTTAAAGTGGGTTTGACTACGACGAAGCAGTTTTCGCTTGGTTCAGCAGGTAAGAATGTCACAGGACCGAAGGTCACATGTCGAGAGATCGGTCTACAGCTAAGAAATTGGAATTTACTTAGTGGATGCACTCATAAGCTCTTCATTATCTGTGTACTTGAGGCGTTTCTGATGACGATGATGGTGATGATGAAATCTACTGTGTTTCTTGGTGTCCTTGAGATGTCAGCGAATACGTTGCGTTTTTCGAGGTCTTTTATCGACCCTTGAAACTGGTAGGTTCTGCTAGTTTTGCCTATCAAAACCTTCGAAGAAGGACAGTTCTTGGAAAGCTTTACCTAGGTAATGGGTGCTGAGACGTTATTTTTTCATGCAGATGGCGATTTTTGCCATACATACGCAAAACATGAATGCTGACTACCAAGGGGAATTGTGTTCTTAAATGAGGGGCAATGCAATGAATATTTTCATGGTGGTGCATGGGCGCTCACCGATCGGGTACGGGACTCAGTCGGTCCGTTCTGCCTTGGGGCTCACTCTCGAACACCACCACCAACAGCTGCACAGTGGCTAGTTGTGTATGCAGAAGAACATAAC